TATTACAAAAAAAATCGTTGAAATTGGGATATTTCACCCGTAGCGTTATCAGCAGTGGCGGCGGGCTTCATTGGATCTTCGCACGAAAGAGGTACTTACACACGTCGATATGTACCCCAATGTCCGGCATGTCAAATAAAAAAATAATAATAACTTGTATCAAGACAAAGAAAAGGAACGAAGGCGTTCTACAAAAGGAGCGGCTTGCAAACAAACAAGCATATCGACACATCAACACACTCCGAGAGGAGCAAACACCATACTAGGCCAGAACCAGACGAACTACAAAACATGGACAACACACCCACACATGGCAGCATTTTTGTGTTTTCAACCGCGCTGAGACCGACGTCTTTTCATTGGTCAGCCGGTTAGCGCGGTCGATGCTAAAAACAAGAAAAAACACACGCACACGCACGCTCCTGCGCCCCCCCCTGTCGGTATCACTCTTGAACATGAATATGAAGGCGTGTTCGCGCGTTTTTTCTCCCGCCACATGACTGACGTCTTTTCGTTTTGGTCCAACACGCAAATCAGCAAGGCAACAACTGGAGGGCTACAGAGTGGGGTCCCCACTAAGGTGATCGCCCAGTACAAGGCGGGGGTGAGATTGGCTAGCATTGACGGAACAGTCAAGTTGCTCTACACATGGAATTGAACGGCTGCCCCATAGAATGGCGGTCATTGTCAGCTTTCCCATCACCGCCTTACTTGGAGGACCCCCCCTCCGTAGCTGTACGTCTAATATAGCTCACCTCCGCCACCCCGGTCAAGAAGTCGACACGGTCGTTCTCGCTCTCGATGTTGTCAGAAACCGCGATGTCCGGGTCGTAGCGCTTCACCATCCAATACAAGACGTCCGCCACGAGCTGGAAGTTGGGGGCCCGGAAGTTGTCCATGGAAACCGACCGGGGGTAGCCCAGCGCTCGCATGATCTCTGTGAAATCTGCGGATCCCCCCGGGCAAGAACATTGGATTAAAATCGATTATGCATAGATTTGAT